GGTGGGCTCTCGGACTGACATCCCTGCCTGCATGGAACCTAGCCCAACTAGGAAGACACACACACAACACAGCAAGCAGTGACAAGTAACTCAGTGGCAGTGCAAAGGCTACAGAGGAGGACAACGGGGCCATAGAGGCACAAACAAAACGGGTGGGGGTTGGCTTACTCTGAGGGTCAAGGTAGGGCATCACTGGGGAAGGACTCAAAGGATGAATGACAGTTAATGAGGAAGCAAGAGGGACAGGGAGGCTGATTCTAGGTGAAGGAACAGCATAAGCAGGGCCCTGGAGCAGGAAGGGCTGGGTGGGAAGACTGTTCGCAAGACCAGGAAAAGCCCTGGCCTGCGGGGAAAGAGGGCACAGGCCAGACAGCTAAGGCTTTGGGTCTTTCATCTTATGGGCGATGGGCCTCCTTGGAAGAGTTTCAATTAGGAGAGTAATAAGATTGGAGACCTGGCTTAATGTCATTCTGGCACTAGTGGGAACCAGCAGGAAAGAGCCCTTTCCTTCCCATCCTTTCGGCCCATCAGCCCCATCCTCTCCCATCTGAGCCTCTGACCTGCATCTTCCTGGAGGCTGGAAAACCACAGCTCCAACTGCTTGGTGCTGGGGGAGAAAAGAGGGAATGGAAGTTCAAGGAGGTGGAGGACTCTGTCCTCTCTGGGTGGAGGATGGGAGATAAGATTGGAAGAGGGGAGCCCTCCTCTGGGGACGTGAGGCACTACTCCTGTGTCCCACCCATGACACTCCTGCAGTCCCAGGTTGTGGGAAGGGCACTGGGAAGAAGGCAACTCACTTGAGGAGGCCCAGGATAAAGGCATGGAAGCGGCTACGGCTGCTGCTCAGCGGAGCTAGACGGCTGACCTGGCTATACAGGGTTCCCAGGGAGCGGGTGCTGGAGCCTGAGAACGTGGGGTGCAGTCAGCCAAGCCCGGCCCTGCCCTGCGCACTGTTGGGTTCCACGCCCTCCCAGCTCACCTGGCTTCACCGACGCCTCCACCACGCTCCAGGGGCTGCTCCTGCGCTGCCCGGTGATGAGGTCCTTCCGGAAAGGCTTCAGCCCGTCCGCCACCAGGGCGTGGAGGGCCGGGCAGAGGGTGGTCAGCACCAGGTGCCCCACATCCGGGCTCAGCCGGCTATCACCCAACTGGGCCTGGAGGCGGCGCGATGCGGATGGGTCCAGAGATCCCTTCAGCCACCTCCCGCCAACCGTTCCCGCACCCCCCGCGGAGCTCCATGACTCTTCTCATCCCCAACAGCCTCCCCCTAGCCACCTTCACCTTCTGCACCAAATTCCGGGCGGCCCCGAAATGCGAGATGATTTTATCCACGGAGGCGCTGACAGCTATCAGGAGACCTGGAGGGGCGGAAAAGGGAAGACGCTAGGAGGCCGCGCCCCTACCCAGGCTTGCCCGAGGGGCGTGGAGAGACTGGCTTCTGACAGCCCGAGGGAGCAGGGCCGGGGCGAGGGGTGGTTCCTTCGGAAGCGCGGGGTCGGGAGTCAGGGTGCCCTACCTTTCTTCTGCTCCTGCAGCTGACCAGTCCCACTCTGGGCTTCTGCCATCCACAGCCGCTGGGCCCCGGGGACACCGGCGAACGACCACGAACTACGGACTGGGGTAAGGGAAGAAGGGCGTGGTGACACTTACCAAGGGTTACTCCGAGGACTCCGGGCTCCCGCACAAGTTGTCTCCCGCGGGTCTGCAGCGCTCTGTCCCCGAAGGGTCTTGGGGGGATGAGGCGCAGGGCCGCCTGGAGCACGGGGCAGCTCGACCCGAGCTCCAGAGAGAAATCCCGCCACTTCCCAGCACTCGCTGTCCCCAGGCTCACCCCGGTTCCCGGTGCCCTCCCTCAGGGCACAGCGCCCCCCCCAACCCCGGCTCCAGGATCCCGGAAACCCGGGAGCGGCATGGCCGCGCTCACCTCCCGCCTACCCCGCTAGGCCGGTAGGGCCCGAGAGGACAGGGCGCGGGAGGGAGGAGCAGCCCTGCGCACCGCCCCAGGGCCGCGTCCAGCCTGCCGGGCCGGGGAGAGCACGTGGGCGGCATGGACCAATGGAAAGACAGACAGAGGGGAAAAGGGAGGAGACGGAGGGAGGCGAAACCCGAGGATTGGGAGCTGGAAGGCGCCGGGAAAGGGGAAACCCGGATCCCACAGCAGCCCCTCGGCGGAGGGTGCCCCTTCATCCCGCGTGGGACTGGACTCGAGGAGAGGACGTGGCCAGGACCTCTAGTACCAATGAGCTCCCGGGAACTTCACCCTCCACCCATCCCGAGCAAGGTGGGGGACAGGCCCGAGCTGCATAGCCCAAGGAATTCCACGGACGGTGTGACCCAGAGTCCCTAACAAAAGACTCGCTGGACCCCCCTAGACTTGGCATGGAGGCTGAGTAAGCCCGCGTCCACTATGCCCAGGAGTGTCTGGGAGAGGGGACCGGGCCACGGAACAGAAAGTGCAACGACTCCCCCCTCCACCACAAGGAACGGGGCCAGACCGGACTCCCCAAGACCAACTAACTTGCTTGGAGTCGGCCGAAACTGAAGGGCGGGACCAAGCCGAGCAACCCCGGAAAAAAAGCGAAAACGGGGCCGGGCGAAAGTGGAAGGGGCTTTGGGGTGGGCGGGGTGGCCCGCCAGAGGCGTGGCCCGCGGGGCTTGCCCGGGTCCGTCTTACGTAGCCTGGGCTGAGGCGATGGGCTCCTGGTCCAGCGAGGGGCCTTCGGCGGACGAGGTTGCGGTGGCAGCGGGGGGGCGGGTACCTGGCGGGGTGGGGGAGCCGCGGCGGGGAAGGTGCTACTTCTGGGAAAGAGCGGGGATAGCAGCAGTGCCAGTTCGGGGCTGGCCAGGCAGGGCAAGGCTCCCCGAGTCGGAGGCGAATAGGCTCCCACTGGGGACAGGCGGATCGGCAGCAGCTGTTCCTCTGGGGGGGTCGGCGCCCCCAGCAGCCGCAGCCCCGCGCCGGGCCACCCGGCCAGAGGCGCCAGGAGCAGAGACCCAGCTGCGCCCGCGCCCCCACCCTCCAACAGGGGGCGCCCGTCGGCCGAGAACCGGAAAACCAGGGGCGGAGGGAGCAGGAGGGGACCGGCTGCAGGCAGGATTGGCGGGGCCAGGCGCAGAGGGAAGGAGGGCAGCGGGATGGGCAGCCAGGCAAGGAGGGGCGGGAAAAAGAGGGAGCAAAGAGTTAGTCCCGTAACCCAATGACCAGTTTCCCTTTCCCGGAGCGCTCCCTGGTAGAAGGGCCGGGGAAGATGGGAGACACAGAATGGAGGGAAGACAGGGGGCGGGGTTGGAAGGCTAGGAGGCGTGAGCGGCCGAAGCCCAGCCCTCCTCCCGCTTCTGACAACCTCTTACCCTCCTGGCCCGCCTGCGCGCCCGGCTCCTGCGGCTCCTTCGCGGCTGGGGCCTCCTCACCAGCCGCGGGGCTGACAGCCCGGCTCTCCTCGGACTGCCCTTCCGCTATGGGCTGCAGTCCTGGTCGGTTCTTCTTTCTTCGGGGAGGGACAGGTGGGGGTGGGGGCCGGGGCGGGACCAAAGCCCAGCCAGCTGGGGGGTCTCGAGGCGGGACTGGCGGGGGTGGGGCCCGGCTTCGGGACCGGAGTTCCTTGAAGGTGGTGACTTCCCGAGGAGGCCCAGAGGAGCCGCCCAGCGACCCCGACGGGGGCAGCTCGGTGTCGGGCGAGAAGACTATGAGCCAGTCACTGCGATCTTTCTTGGCCTGCGGGACGAGGGGCAGCCCTGGGCCCCGCTTGCGCTTCTGGGCCAGCTCGTGGAAGGACGTGATTGTCCGGTGGGGCACCGGCTCCTCGCTGACGTCACTTCTCCATCCTCCATCAATTTTCCCTGCATCTGTCTTCGAGCCAGAATCAGTTATTCTTGTGTTGGTTTTCCAACCAGAGTCGAATTTTTCAGGTTCATTTTTCCAGCTAGAGTTAACATTCCCGTTGTTTTTCCAACCAGTGTTATTGTTTTCAGTGATTTGACATTCAGCTTTAGTTTTCTCTGTGTCAATTTTCCAAATGGGGTTAATCTTCCAACTGGGCTCGGTTTTCCCAGCGTCGATTTTCCCATCATCCACCTCTAAGAGCTCCGAGGTAGGGAGATCCTGCTCCGCGCTCTCGTCTTCTTCCTCCAAGCCTGGGGAAGGGAGGTCCTGGCAGGTGGTCAGGGCATTGCAGTTCGAGTCCAGGCCAGGGTCGGGTGAAGAAGCAGCTCCGGAGCAGGAATCAGGAGAGCAGCAGAAGCTGTCCGGTGAGCAGGTGCCAGGGCCTGCTGAAGCCAGTGGGGAGCCCTGCTCCAGGGGGATGATACTGGGCTGAGGGTGAGCATCCTCATCACCAGGGAGGTCCCGCAAGTAGACAGAGACAGGGGACTCATCGGGGCTAAGATCTGAGCAGGAGCTGAGCGAGGAGGAGCAGCCTGGGTCTGAGGGAGAGGCAGCCCCCTCTTCCTCCTGTGACGGGTCCTGCCGGTTTTCTAGGCCCGGACTGTGCTCTTGGCAGCACCGGCAGGGCACAGCTGGGCTGTTGGAATTGGCGTCCACCAAGGTACCACTGCAGGGACCCCTGCTCTCCTTGCCCCCAGTGTCTCCTGGGGGAGGGGGTGTGCTCAAGGGCCCCTCCCGTAGCTCAGGACGGCGGGACAAGTGCAGGCCCAGGGAGACGTGCTGGAGGTGGATGTGGTTGAGGTTGCAGAGTAAAGCTCTCTGAGGGGACAGCATTGTGCCAGCGGCGATGGGATGGCGTCTAGAGAACCAGGAGGATTGGGTCTCTCACATCCACCTACCTGGCAACCACAGGTGTAGACCTAGAAGAGAGGGGTGGCGAAGCCCAGCCAGTGAGGACAAGAGCTGCGGGAAGGACACCGAGGTGACTGACGGCAGCAGCAGGCCTGAAGGCTCTTACTGCTTTGGAAGATATTTCAATGAGATGCAAATCGCAATCGACTGGCCATTAGTTTCCACTGCAGTGTTGGCAGGTGGAGTCGAATGTAACCCCCCGGGAATGGAGCGGGGAGGGTCGGAGAACGCGGCTGCGCTCTGGATCTCCGAAGAGGGGCGGGGGCCTGGAAGAGGTCGGGGCCCAGAATGGACTGCCGGGTCCCTGCTGCCGCAATCTGGCCCTGACCTCCAGCCTACCCCTTACTTCCAGATTAAGGGACCCAAGGAGACCCACCCAGATGCCCTGAAAGGAGGCAGGGGATGGGGGTGGGGCAATACGCAGAGTTTGCCTGGTAAATGCAGAAAAGGGGTGACGGCTGGAGGAGAAAAGGATGGAGCAGCCGTCAGCTTCTCAACTCCGCATCCGCCGGCTGCCTCGGCTGGGCTCCAGCCTGCGCCCTCGCCCCTTGGAACAGCGGTGTGTCCATTCTCTCCGCATTCGTCTCCATCATTCAGCCACCACCGCACCCTTTCTCTATTCATTTGTCCGGCCCCGCCCCGCGTGCCCTGGTCTATCGGTCTACACCCATGGGCCGAGCCCTCCTCACCAGGGTCCTCCTGGAACCGCTCCGGCCTTGGGCTTGTCCGCGGCTCCCACGGTCCCCGCCCGGCGGGGCACAGAGCAGGCGGGGAGGGGCACTAGGACAACCCACTCTTCGCCGCGCAGCTGCACCCCTTCGCGCATGGGCGTGGCGTAGCTCAGCCCCGCCCCTAGCGCTTAGCGTCTAGTGTCACCCGCCCAGCGGGTTGGATATATCCTAAGCTTTTGGCCCCAAGGGGCCGGGGTGCCAAGGCCCCTGGGTTTTGCTTCCGTGCAGCGAGTCCTCCCAGCACCCCACCCCGAGCATTCTAGAGAGAACCAGACTCCGGCCGGGCCGAGCATGAACAGAACCACAAGATTATACAATTTATTTATTGAGAGCCTCCTCTCCGCCCTTGCAGTCTCTAGGTCACTTTTTCCGCTTGTAGATTTTGCGCGCAAGCCCCAGAAACACCGCTGGGGGAAGGGGCGCTGCGTACTGTTCAATGAGACCCATAATGTGGTTGTAACTGTCTTCCTCATACTGCAGGAACACGGCCGGCAGATCCAGCTCCTCATATAATGCCTTCACTCGGGCCACCTTCTCAGCGTCCTTCTGCCCGTAATTTTCCTGCAAGGGATTGGGGACAGGAAACTGAGCTTAGCCTTCCCCAGAGCCTCCAAGACCTCCCCCCACCCGCCTGCCCAACTCCCTTCATTCACATATTCCAGAACATCTCCAAAGCCACCCACTCCCTTCCTGCCTCCAATTTGCAAGTGTCTCTAGATAGCTAAGATCCCAAGCTTCCCTTCACCATCGCAAATATTCCCCACATACTGGCTCTCAGACCTCTACTCCAGGGTTTCTCAACCTTGGCACAATTGAAATTTGGGACCAGATAATCCTGTCTGGGGGAGCTGTTCGCTGTTCTGTGTTACATGTTTGGCAACATCTTTGGCTCCTGCCAACTAGATGCCTGTACCACACACAGAGTTGTGATGCCGATGACAAAAAATGTCTGCTGACATTGCCAAATGTCCCCTCAGGGGCAAAACTGCCTCCAGTTGGGAAGTACTGCTCTGGCCCTTTCTCACCAGCTCAGGGACCCACCACCCGCTCTCAAGCACCTTCAGGATCTGGCGCTGTTCCGGAGTGGACCGTTGCAGACACTGGACCACCAGCCAGCTGCATTTGTTGTCCTGGATGTCGGTGCCAACTTTGCCAGTCACACTGGGGTCCCCAAAGAGGTCAAGGTAATCATCCTAGGTGGGGGGAAGGGCAGCAAAGGAGCCGGATGAGGCAGAGGAGTGAAGCTGGTCCCTGTTCCCTGCAGCTGCCTCCTGCCTTCCTACCTGAATCTGAAAGAACTCTCCCATCTCCAACAGGATCTTCTTGGCATTGGCATGCTCCTTCTCGCCATCAATTCCTGCCTATAAGGAAAGGGGGGTTAATAAGCCAAACCCCAGAGGTGCCTGCATATTCCTGGCTGCTTTCTCCCGTGGTCTTGCCCTCCTGCAGCCCCAAATCTCTCCTCTCTTCAGACATCTTGCCTTCCCTGACCTAGATAGTCCTTGACATATGATCCAACCACAATCCCACTTACTTTTGGCTAGACCTTCCTGGGAGTCCTAACAGAGATAAATCCATTCTACAGGTGTTCAGCCTGTGTCTTCCCTCACAAATGTCAGTCCCCGCGTGTCATTCTGATCCATCTTCCTAATGTTTTTACCTTCAACTTCTTTATGAGAGGGAGTCTCACTCTGTCACCCAGGCTGGAGTGCAGTGAAACGATCCTGACTCACTGCAACCTCTGCCTTTTTTTTTTTTTTTTTTTTTTTTTGTAGAGATGGGGTTTCATCATGCTGGCCAGACTGGTATCGAACTCCTGACCTCATGATCCACCCACCTCAGCCTCCCAAAGTGCTGGGATTATAGCGTGAGCCACCGCACCCGGCCATCTCCAACTTCTTTGAAGATGAAAAGGAAATGTGGAGAAGCAAGTCAGGGTAGGCAGTTAATCCCACTGACTGCCTTTAGTCCACTCTTCTCCCTCAACCAGGATGATCTCCTCTGCACTCCTATCCATACTCAGACACAGGATTTATTGTTCCCCTATTATGGGCTAAGCGCTTTCATATCCCTTGCCTTGCTTAATTTTTTTTTTTTTTTTTTTTAAGAAGGGGTTTCACCATGTTGGTCAGGCTAGTCTTGAACTCCCGACCTCAGGTGATCCACCCACCTTGGCCTCCAAAGTGCTTGGATTACAGGCGTGAGCCACCACGCCCAGCCGCTTAATCTTTTCTTTTCTTTTTTTTTTTTTTGAGACGGAGTTTCGAGTTTCGCTTCTGTTGTGCAGGCTGGAGTGCAATGGCGCAATCGCGATCTCAGCTCACCACAGCCTCTGCCTCCCAGGTTCAAGTGATTCTCCTGCCTCAGCCTCCCAAGTAGCCGGGATTACAAGCATGCACCACCACGCCTGGCTAATTTTGTATTTTTAGTAGAGATGGGGTTTCTCCATGTTGGTCAGGCTGGTCGGGAACGCCTCACCTCAGGTGATCCGCCCACCTCAGCCTTCCAAAGTGCTGGGATTACAGGCGTGAGCCACCGCACCCAGCCACCTTGCCTAAAGAACAGTCCTGTGAAGTAGGAATTTTATCCCCAGCTGAGGAAAGAGACTCAGCAAGACTGATTTGCTCAAGGTCACACAGCCGTTCACCAGGGGTAGCAGAGTGTTCACGTTGTCTGCTCTGTGCCTTCCTGTCCAAAAGCCCCCATCAGCAGGGCGGAGGGGGGTGAGGAGGCTCACTCACCATGTACATGGCTGCAGCTACAGGAAGGTAGAAGGAGTAGAAAGCCGTCTTGTATTTGACAATAGATTTGTACCTGGGTAGGGGTGAAGAGAAACTCCTCAGGGGGGCAGTCCGCATCCTGCACCCTCCCTTGCTGTGTCTGGTTCGCCCTCTTCCTCACCTCTTTTCAGTAAATCTGCCGAGATCCACATTGCCCTGGGGGGCTGTGATGAGGTCCAGGGTCTGCCCAATCTCAGTCTGATAGGAACTCTACAGAAGACGAAGACAGCCCATGAGCCAGCCTTTCTCCAGATATGCGAAACCTTGATAGCCTGAGCACAACACCCCGTAACAGCGGACAACTGCGCAGAATCAGAAAGGCAACAGAAGGGGAGAAGGCCCCAAAACTGAAGGTCCATATTCATACGCACAGTCCTTTATCACCCTTCCTGCCAATCACACAGGGACAGCGAAGCCCTTCCTGCCACTTCCCAACTTCCTTCCTCACTTTCCCTCCTGGGCCCCCTGCGATCCTGTGCCTTGAAACCAGCTAGATGAGCATGTCCCACAGAGGCCAAGGCTACCAGCGGCAGCCTCTGAGCATGGGGCCCTGTCTGTAGCACACCTGCAGGAAGAGCTCGATCAGGTTCAGGTAATAGGGCTGCTCCCGGCAGTAGAGCTTCAGCAGGCGGTAGATACATGCTTCCAGAAGGATAGCATCATTGATGGCATCCAAACCCACGCCTGGCTGGGACGGCAGAGAGAAAAACAAGCAATCAATCTCTAGCCTCAGTTCATACTAAGAGCCATCACCCCAACATCTCAACCAGGCCATAGGTAACCACCTCCCTGTGGCCTGTCCCCATACCCACTTGCTATTTTACTGCCCCCATTACCTTCTGATACCAGCAGAGCTGTCCCCGGCGGGTGAGGGATGAATCCATGATGTCATCTGTCACCAGGAAGAAAGCTTGCAGCTAGGAAGAGTGGAATAAGACCTGCAGGGCTCCTCATTACCGTTCCTTCTATCAGCAATGGAGCTGCTACTTTATATCTGTATCTGTATATATTTTTGCTTTGTTTTTTGGCAGGGACAGAGTCTCCAGTTGTCCAGTGCAGTGGTGTGATCACGGCTCACTGTAGCCTCTACCTCCCAGGCTCAAGTGAACCTCCCACTTCAGTTTCCTGAGTACCTGAGACCACAGGCACACAACACACACCTGGCTCATTTTTTTTTTTAATTTAATTTTTGTAGAGACAGGGTCCCACTATGCTTCCTCAGGCTGGTTTTGAACTCCTGGGTTCAAGTGATCCTCCTGCCTCAGCCTCCTAAAGTACTGGGATTACAGGCGTGAGCCACCATGCCCAGGTCAGAGCTGCTGCCTTTGATAGTCCCTATGAGCCGGGAAGGTCAGGATGGGGAGGCAGAAGACTTCTGTGCTATGGGGACTTGGAAGGTGACATCACCTGTTTGGCTCAGACCCCTTGCCTATGAAACGAAACTACAACACTCTTGTTTTAGGTAAGAGACTAGAACAGATTGCTGGCATCTCTAACCAGCTCTAGATCATGCCTGGTATCAGGGAGATGAGGAAACACCTTCATACGCATACCCCATACTTTATTCTTGCCAAAAACCTCAATGAATGCTTAAGGATCTATTCACGCAATTGACTTTACATTACTTCCTAAACAAAAGAAGATATTCCCACATTGCCCCCAGCACTGTGTTTGAACACCTCGGTGACTAGGGACACAGCCTCACCTAAAGGATCTCCTTTGTGGTGCACATCTAATCAGCTGGAACTGAAATCTGACTTTGATCCTACGGGTCTTAGACACCTTTAAACATTTTTAAACTTTAGCAAAGGGTTACTCTTCTGAATGTCCATTTGAAGGTACCTGAACGTGTCGGGTTTCCCACTAGACCATGAACTCCGTGGAGGCAGGGACAGTAAGTTTTACCTCTTGGCATCTGCAGAGCCTAGCACAGCACTAGCCCTGGAGTGAGAGTTTCCTAAACACTTCTCTGGTGAAGAAATTAAAAATAAAGCACCCTAACATTCCCCATGACACTTCGTGCAGTCAGTCAGACTATATGTTTTGGTTCCTTAAATAGCATTTTTTTTTTTTTTTGGAGATAGAGTCTCACTCTGTCACCCAAGCTGGAGTGCAGTGGCACCATGTGGGCTTGCTGCCACTTCCACCTCCCAGGTTCAAGGGATTCTCCTGCCTCAGCCTCCCGAGTAGCTGGGACTACAGGCACCCACCACCACCAACTGCTAGCCCAGCTAACTTTTGTATTTTCATTCAGTAGAGACGGGGTTTTGCCATGTTGGCCAGGCTGGTCTCGAACTCCTCACTTGCAGTGATCTGCCTGCTTTGACCTTCCAAAGTGCTGGGATTACAGGTGTGAGCCACCGCGTGCTACCTTTTCAAAACATGGTTTGAATTCTGTTTGTTTGTTTGTTTTTGAGACAGAGTCTCACTCTGTCACCCAGGCTGGAGTGCAGTGGAGCGATGATCTCGGCTCACTGCAACCTCTGCTTCTCGGATTCAAGCAATCATCCTGCCTCAGCCTCCCGAGTAGCTGGGATTACAGGCACGTGGGTAGAGACGGGGTTTTACCATGTTGGTCAGGCTGGTCTCAAACGGCTGAACTTGTGATCTGCCCACCTGGCCTTGGGTTGTTTTTTTTTTTTAGAGAAAACAGGTCTTATTATGTTGCCCAGGTTGGACTTGAACTCCGGGCTCAAGTGATCCTCCTGCCTCAACCTCTTGAAAAGCTAGGATTATAGGCACACACAAGCACACCCAGCTCAAGACATGGTTTTTAATTTTACTACTTACTGTTTTGTTTTTGAGACAGCGTTTTGCTCTCGTTGCCCAGGCTGGAGTACAATAGCATGATCTTGGCTAACTGCAACCTCTGCTTCCCAGATTCAAGCGATTCTCCTGCCTTAGCCTCCCACATGGCTGGGATTACAGACATGCGCCACCACACCCGGCCAATTTTTGTGTTTTTAGTAGAGATGAGGTTTCACCATGTTGGTCAGGCTGGTCTCGAACTCCTGACCTCAGCCTTAGCGTCCCAAAATGCTGAGATTACAGGCGTGAGCCAATGCAACTGACCCTATACCCAGGTTTTGATTTTTATTGTGATTTTCTTTTGAGACAGGATCTCACTCCATCACTCAGGCTGGAGCAGAAGACGTGGTTTCTAAAACTTCATCCCATCCTAATCCTGTGTGCTGTAGTGGATCCACATTGCAAAGGAAGCATGCGACACCCCCTCCCACAGCTCCAGCATGGGCCGTGGGGAAAGGACCATTCACTGCTACTGTTCCAGGCAGGGTCCTCAGGGAAGGAGGCATCCATCTGCACCTTCACCTCTGACCTCACCCCAGAAGGGAAGTGGGGAGGTCCCAGGCTTTCCACATGGAAGGCACATGTTTAATTTACTCTGTGTTTATTTAGAGTATCATGGTTTCTCCAAAGCCACTGATCCACTGCCTCTCAAGGGTGACTGTAAGGACAATCTCGTTTCAGCCACCACCACTCAACCATGACGGTCTCCAAGAAAATTAATTCCATAGCCTCCCCGAATTTCCTCTGCCTCCTAGCCCTGATTCTTAACCCCACCAACACTTTCTATTTATTAGGGAAATTAAAAAAACAAAAACAAAAAAACCCAAGCCAGGCACAGTGGCTCACCCCAGTACTTTGGAAAGCTGAGGCAGGCAGACCACTTAAGCCCAGGAGTTCAAGACCAGCGTGGGCAACATAGTGACACCATCTCTACAAAAAAAAAACTTTTAAAAAGCCAGGTGTGGTGGCAGGCCCCTGTAGTCCCAGCTACTTGGGAGGCTGAGGTGGAAGGATGGCTTGAGCCCAGGAGGTTGAGGCTACAGTATGCCATGATTGCACCACTACACTACAGCCTGGGCAACAGAGTGAGGCTCTGTCTCAAAAAAAAAAAAAAAAACTTAGACCAGGCACGGTGGCTCACGCCTATAATCCCAGCATTTTGGGAGGCCAAGATGAGCGGATTACTTGATGCCACGAGTTCAAGATCAGCCTTGGCAACATGGCGAAACCTAGTCTCTACAAAAAAAAAAAAAAAAAAAAAAAAAAAAAAAAAAACAATTAGCTGGGTAGAGGCATACACCTATAGTCTCAGCTACTTGGGAGGCTGAGGTGGGAGGACTGCTTCAGCTCCAGAGGCAGAGATTGCAGTGAGCCATGATCACGCCACTGCATTCCAGGCTGAGTGACAGAGTGAGACCCCCATATCAAATTTCTTTTCTTTTTTTTGAGATGGAGTTGTTGCGCTCTTGTTGCCCAGGTAGAATACAATGGCGTGATCTTGGGTTACCACAACTTCCGCCTCCAGGGTTCAAGTGATTCTCCTGCCTCAGCCTCTCGAGTACCTCAGCCTCTAGATTGCAGGCATGGGCCACCATGCCCAGCTAATTTTGTATTTTTAGTAGAGACGAGGTTTCTCCACATTGGTCAGGCTGGTCTCGAACTCTCAACCTCAGGGGATCCACCCACCTCAGCCTCCTAAATGCTGCCCTCTCCCTGGATGCCATGGTCCTATTATCTCCTTGGAAGCAAATCCCTATTCTTCCTGACAAGTTCCAGACTGGAATTTCCACCACCCATAAGACAGGCAGATCCACCTACTCCACCCATATCAAGAACGTGCCCAGGCTGACTGTGCTCAGCACATCTTCCCTTGAGCCAGCTGCTCCTCTCAGGCCAGGAACTCAGCATTACTGTCACTCACCAAGTTTCTGAATGCTCTTCCCTTTTGTGCTCACTGCCACCCTCCTCGGTATGGCACCCCTCCAAGAACCCAGTCCCCCTGTCACTAATGAAAGCTTTAGGCCATGGCAGCAAATTATACACCTTCAAGAGCAAGAGGAGCTGGCATAGAAGACAAGTGGGTGTGGGGGTGGGAGCAAATCAGAGAAAGCACACAGGAGGGCGCATGCCCTGGGTCTTGGGGCAGTTGCATCCACTCAGCTTCAGCCAACTGTTGCTATGCAGGAACATGGACCCAGGTCTTATAATTTTCCAAGCCATGCTAGAAATCTAGGTTTCAGTGTAAAATCTCTTTGTTAAATTTAGGAGACTTCATTTTAAAACATTTTCAGACGGCCGGGCGCGGTGGCTCAAGCCTGTAATCCCAGCACTTTGGGAGGCCGAAGCGGGTGGATCACGAGGTCGAGAGATCGAGACCATCCTGGTCAACATGGTGAAACCCCGTCCCTACTAAAAATACAAAAAATTAGCTGGGCATGGTGGCGCGTGCCTGTAATCCCAGCTACTCAGGAGGCTGAGGCAGGAGAATTGCCTGAACCCAGGAGGCGGAGGTTGCGGTGAGCCGAGATCGCGCCATTGCACTCCAGCCTGGGTAACAAGAGCGGAACTCCGTCTCAAAAATAAAAATAAAAATAAAAAAAATAAAACATTTTCAAAAACTATCAGTGAGCTGCCAGTTTTCAATCTGTGCTTCAGAACAGCCTTTGGAAGACCTGTCATTTTTAGGGCTGTCCTCTGCTCAAAGGGAAGAGCTGACACCGCGCTGCCCAGTTCCGAGGCCCCAGTCCACCCTGTCCACACCTATCCACAGCCACCATTGTACCTAATGGCAAGAGTCTTCCCACGTTAGTTAACCCATGCAGTGCTGCACTCTAAATTTGGCCGGAGCACACTAGAGACAAACACAAACCAGAGACAAGTCTCAGGTCCCTCCTGCCCGTTCCCACCCAAGTCGCAGGAAACGTCTCCCTTCCCTGCCGCCTCTCACCAGTTCCACACACCAGCCCACAGTCAGGGCCCGCTGGAGACTATCAGCATCCTGTTTCCTTGGCTCCACCAGCTCCCGGAATGCTACTAGCACCGTCACACCCCGGTGATACTTGCCTCCAATGGCGTTGTACTCCAGGACCTGGAGGGCAAGGGGAGAGGGACAGGGTATCAGGGTCCACGCAGCAGCTACTCTTGAGTTTTCTCCTCACGCTCTCCCATTTCCAACCAGCACCTGATTGTATCCTCCTCAACCCCAACTCCTCTTCAGGGAGCCTCTGGAATTGCTACTGTCTTTACTCCTTCCCCAAAGTCCTGGGGCAAAGCTAGAAGAGATCCCAGTGCCCAGGCACGTTCTTTCTGCAAGGTCTACTCTAGTCAATTTATTTATGAGATGGAGTCTCATTCTGTTGCCCAGGCTGGAGTGCAGTGGCATGATCTCTGCTCACTGCAACCTCCACCTCCAGGTTCATGCAATTCGTCCTCAACCTCCTGAGCAGTTGGGACTATAGGCGCACCGCACCACACCCAGCTAATTTTTGTATTTTGAGTAGAGAAGGGGTTTCACCATATTGGCCAGGCTGGTCTCAAACTCCTGACCTCATGATCCACCTGTCTCGGTCTCCCACAGTGCTGGGATTACAGACGTGAGCAACCGCGCCTGGCCAAGACTTCTCTTTTTTTGGGGGGACGGAGTCTTGCTAGAGTGCAATGGCGCCACCTCGACTCACTCCAACCTCAGTCTTCCGGGTTCAAGCGATTCCCGCGGCTCAGCCTCCTGAGTAGCTGGGTTTACAAGCACACACCATCATACCCGGCTAATCTTTGTATTTTTGTAGAGACAGAGTTTTGCAATGTTGGCTAGGCTGGTCTTGAACTCCTGACCTCAAGTGATCGGCCCATCTTGGCCTCCCAAAATGCTCGGATTATAGGCATGAGCCACCTTGCTGGGCAAAGACTTCTCTTTTTTTTTTTTTTTTTTTTTTTTTTTGAGACGGGGTTTCGCTCTTGTTACCCAGGCTGGAGTGCAATGGCGCGATCTCGGCTCACCGCATCCTCCGCCTCCTGGGTTCAAGCAATTCTCCTGCCCCAGCCTCCTGAGTAGCTGGGATTACAGGCACGCACCACCATGCCCAGCTAATTTTTTGTATTTTTAGTAGAGACGGGGTTTCACCATGTTGACCAGGATGGTCTCGATCTCTCGACCTCGTGATCCACCCGCCTCGGCCTCCCAAAGTGCTGGGATTACAGGCTTGAGCCACCGCGCCCGGCAAGACTTCTCTTTTAATCCCTACTCCAGTATAGGCAAACCCCCCCTTTCCCTTGGTTCCCCTCAGATATATGAGATAGACAGCATTTATAAAAATAGTTTTAATAGATACTCCAGAATCAAGAATCAATGGGAAAAGGGCGAGTATCACAGGAATAGTTCATGTCCTAGAATAGGAGTTTCTTTCTTTCTTTTTATCTTTAAAACTCTTTAGATTCAGATTTTTGTTTGTTTGTTTGTTTGTTTGTTTTTGAGACAGAGTCTCACTCTGTCGCCAGGTGCCAGGCTGGAGTCCAGTGGCACAATCTCAGCTCACTGCAACCTCCACCTCCTGGGTTCAGGCAATCCTCCTGCCTCAGCCTCCTGAGTAGCTGGGACTACAGACGTGCGCCACCATGCCCAGCTAATTTTCATATTTTATTAGAGACGGGGTTTCACCATGTTGACCAGGATGGTCTCGATCTCTTGACCTCGTGATCCACCCACCTCGGCCTCCCAAAGTGCTGGGATTACAGGCGTGAGCCACCATGCCCGGCCTGTTTGTTTGTTTTTAGAGACAGGGTTTCACCAAGCTGGTCTCGAACTCCCGACCTCAGGTGATCCACACACCTCAGCCTCCCAAAATGCTGGGATTATAGGCATGAGCCACCATGTCCATCCCTAGAATAGGAGTTTCTAATGATACAATAATTTCACTTAGGCCCCAGGTAGAAAAAACAACATCAGACTGCCTTCCTCCCAGGTCTCTGCCAAGGTAGCAGCTTCTGATTTCAGGAGACAAAATCAGAGACTTGCCAGGCTCAAGGCCTCCACCCTCAAGCAAAGCAGTCTGGATGATCCACCTTCCATCACAGCCAAAAGTCAGGATGAAGGACTTAATAAGTATACTTGCCCAGGCCCCAACCCCTCAAGAGTGGGCTCGAGTCCCTCAGATAAAAGCCTTCTCTCACATCTGCCAAAAGTCCCCCACAAGCCACAGGTGACTCCCAAGTGTATACAGAGCAATCAAACCGAAGACTCACTCCCCCAAGTCATGAATCCCTCACCTCCTTGAGCCGGGCAATAGCATCTCCTGTCTCTGGGTGCCCCATCTCATCCTCAGTCAGCACCCTAACGATCTGGGAGAAGTGCTGAACAAAATCCTGCTTTTCTTGGGCATAAACATCTGATTTCTGGTCTCCATTCATTCTGAGGGAGGAGCAAAGGGCTCTGAGGAGAAGAAAAACAAGTCAGAAACCTGACCAGCTGCTCCCCTCCCCAAGGCCCCTCACCGCAACCACACTCACCGAGGCTCCTCTGTCCATGCTTGGCACCAGCAGCGGGCACTGTGCCAGGCCGGGACTGGGTACCCGAGCACCAGGGAGGGCCGCCGTAGGGAACCTAGCCACCTCTCCTGGGGAGCCCAGTAGGGGGCTGGCAGCAGGAAGACCCCCACAGATCTCAACCAGCGGGACAAGGGCATCATGGGAGTGGCATAGGGAAGGGGGGCCAAGCACTCCCTGCAGGGGCAAGCACCAAAGGCATGGTGGCAGCTCCCCAGATCACTCCCACCCCAGCCTTGGCCCAGAGTGCCCCTCTCTCTTGTGGAATGTGCTTAGGGACAATTAGAGGAAGGAGATGCAGGAAACAAAAAGTAGGGCTTGGTGACTGAGACCCAACTAATTGCCACTTATAAACAGGCTAGAACTCAATGCCTTCCAGACGGCGTCCACAAGGCTGGGTGAGGACGTGGTACACAGTAAAGTACCCCAGGAGTAGGGGCTGAAAGGACCCCTTAAGTCATCCTATTTTACACAAGTCAAACTGAGGCTCTAGGAGGTAGAAAGATAGTAGAGGCAGAGCCATATCTAGAACCTAGGTCTCCCCTGGGAGATGAAGAGGGGTGCCCAGGGTCTGCGCTCCACGTCCCAAGGATGGGAGAAGCACTGAGGCCGGAATCCATGGGTGCTGCGTCCATTTGGTCTGGGGTGCTGGAGCCGCGCGTCCCAAGCCTCACAGGAAGCGCTAGGACTGCGCAGATAGGCTCGGAGCAACTCTGAACGGGAGAGAAGGGCTCGCAGCAAAGGAGTATACCGAGGTCCGGGCATATTGGGGGTTTCAGGAAAGCACAAGGGCAGAGTTTGGAAGTCTCTGCACGCCCAGAAGGCCAGCCAGTCTAGCCCACCGACCCTCAAAACGGAGAAACTCTGACACAACAGGCTGAGCTTCCCGTGCCTCACAGTATCGTTACAGAAGCAAAGCACGGTCTCGGCTCCCTTCCTCCAAGGCCCAGCACACGACCTCTCTCACCTGTTCCTGGATGCGGGTTCCTGCTCGGTCCCGCTAGTTGGCGGGTACTCCTAAAAGCTGAATCCACTCCGCGCTCGGCTCTATGGGTCGAGTAGTTCTCGCTATCGCCATACTATTGGCAGAAATACATGATTAGACTACAACTCCCAGCGTGCTGCGGGAGGGACAGACAACGCCATCCTGGCGTGGCCTGGCTGGGCGGAGACGAGCCGCGCTGATTGGCTCCTGGCCCTCGTGTGAGCGTGGCGCACTGTGACGGACGACCAATGGAAGGGCTGAAACCTAGAGGGCAGGGCTGGAGGCACCACGGCTGGAAGCGAGCCAGGCGGGGAACGCCCCAGCTCTGGCCCTGGCTGCCTACTTTCCTTTGCTGCAAATTTCGACATCTTCCTGGGCAGCTGAATGGCTTGTTAGAAAAACGCAGCAGAACTAGCTTTGTCACTTGTTAGTTCTCTAACTTCAGGCAAACCATTTAACATCTCTGATCCTCAGTTAACTTCCTTGAAACTAGCTTTCCTCATCTGTTGAATGAGGGTGATAATACCACGACATAATGTGTTTAAAGTGCTTTAAGGGCTTAAAGATGAGCCTTGGCGGGGCGCGGTGGCTCACGCCTGTAATCCCAACACTTTGGAAGGCCGAGGCGGGGGATCACCCGAGGTCAAAAATTCGAGACCAGCCTGGCCGAACTCACATGCCCTGCCACCATGCCCTGGCTAATTTTTGTATTTTTAGTAGAGACAGTGTTTCACTATGTTGGCCAGGGTGTTCTTGAACTCCTGACTTTGTGATCTGCCTGCCTCGACTTCCCAAAGTGCTGGCATTACAGGCGGGAGCCACATGCCTGCCATAGATATTTTAAAATGTCAGTGTTAAGGCCAGGCATGGTGGCTCACGCCTGTAATCCCAGCACTTTGGAAGGACGAGTCAGGCAGATCATAAGGTCAGAAAGTCGACACCAACCTGGCCAACATAATGCAACCATGTCTATACCAAAAAATTAGCTGGGTGTGGTGCCATGTGAACTTGAAAACTGCTTAGACTTATTTACCTAATTTATGAGTGCTCTTTTATTTATAAGCCAATTTGGTAGTCACAATATGTAACAGTAAAGCATACAAATAAACACATCTAGACATGTATACACACACATAAATGAAGATTCAATAGCTTGAAACCTTAGCTGTGAGATAGCAATACAAGCTTGATGGTTTTACTCTGCCCCATGGATGAAGGCTGTGATCCAAAATTTCAGGTAAAACAGTCTCCATGGCAGTTTTATTTATTATTTATTTATTCATTTATTGAGACACAGTCTCTCTCTCTCTGTTACCCAGGCTGGAGTGTGGCAGCGCAATCTCGGCTCAAGTGATTCCCCTACCTCAGTTTCCTGAGTAGCTGGGACTCCAGGCACAGCACCATGCCCAGCTAATTTTTTGTATTTTTAGTAGAGACAGGGTTTTACCATGTTGGCCAGGATGATCTCGATCTCCTGATCTCCTGATCCACTCGCCTCAGCCTCCCAAAGTGCTGGTATTATAGGCGTGAGCCACAGTGCCCAGCCCACAACTAGCTAATTTTCAAAAAAATCTTTGATCGAGCACGGGTTTTTGTTTTTGTTTTCAGACAGAGTTTCGCTCTTGTTGCCCAGGCTGGAGTGCAATGGTGCAATCTCTGCCTCCTGGATTCTCATGTCTCAGACTCCCAAGATAGCCGGGATTACAGGCATGTGCCACCACGCCTGGCTAATTTTGTATTTTTTTTTTTAGTAGAGACAGGATTTCTCCATATTGGCCAGGCTGATCTCCAACTCCTGACCTCAGGTGATCCACCCACCTCGGCCTCCCAAAGTGCTGGGATTACAGGTGTGAGCCATCGCGCCCAGCCTTTTTTTTTTTTTTTTTTTTTTTGAGTCTCAAAAAAAACTCTGTCTCAAAAAAAAAAAAAAAAAGCCTTTTTAGAGATGGAGTCTCGCTACATGGCCCAGGTTGATCTGGAACTCCTGGCCTCAAGTGATCCTCTTGCCTCAGCCACTGGAGTCCCTGGGACTATAGCTGTGAGCCACTGTGCTCTCACTTTCTTTAAGGTGCAGAGAGTCAAGGAGGTAGAGCAGGATGGAGTGGGCGCAAGGAAGTGAAACTAAGTTAACTTAGCTGTAACAGAGGGTGGCACGAGGAGGAGGGCTGAACAGTGGAGAGTGGCCTCAGTCACATGGTGGTAGTGAGAGGCAGGTAATTGAATACGAGGGTCTGTAGCCCAGGAGAGAAGCTGGAGTTGGACCTTTTTGATTCAAGCCAAGGGCTGGGCCCTATTATCATTCATTCATCCTTCAAAAATTATGTATTTGGCTGGACATGGTGGCTCACACCTGTAATCCCAGCACTTTGAGAGGCTGAGGCAGAAGGATTACTTGAACCCAGTTCGAAACCAGCCTGAGGAACCTAACAAAACCCCATCTGTACTAAAAATACAAAACATTAGCCAGGTGTGGTGGCGCATGCCTGTAATCCCAGCTATCTGGTAGACTGAGGTGGGAGGATCATTTAAGCTCAGGAGGGCAAGGCTGCAGTGAACTATGATCATAGGACTGTACTCCAGCCTGGGTGACAAGAGTGAGACCCTGTCTCAAAAAAATAACAATAATAACAAAAAATTAAGCCAGATGTGGTGGCTCATGCCTGTAATCCCAGCACTTTGGGAGACCAAGGCGGATGGAACACCTGGAGTCAGGCGTTCAAGACCAGCCTGGCCAACATGGTGAAACTCTGTCTCTACTAAAAATACAAAAAATAGTCGGGCGTGGTGGCAGATGCCTGCAACTCCAGCTATTCAGGAGGCTGAGGCAGGAGAATCGCTTGAACCTGGGAGGCAGAGGTTGCAGTGAACTGAGATCACGGCATTGGACTTCAGCTTCAGCTTGGTGACAGAGGTAGACTCCATCTCAAAAAAACATGTGTGTGTGTGTGTGTGTGTGTGTGTGTGTAAAACAAAAACTATTTATCAAACACCTGCTAGGCTCTAGGAATATAGCAGAGAACAAAGACAAAAATCTCAGTGCTCGAAGAACTGATACTCTAGCTTAGGGATGAGAACACATTTTTTTTTTTTTTTTTTTTTTTTGAGACGGAGTTTCGCTCTTGTTACCCAGGCTGGAGTGCAATGGCACGATCTCGGCTCACCGCAACCTCCGCCTCCTAGGTTCAGGCAATTCTCCTGTCTCAGCCTCCTGAGTAGCTGGGATTACAGGCACTCACCACCATGCCCAGCTAATTTTTTGTATTTTTAGTAGAGACGGGGTTTCACCTTGTTGACCAAGATGGTCTCGATCTCTTGACCTTGTGATCCACCCGCCTTGGCCTCCCAAAGTGCTGGGATTACAGGCTTGAGCAACCGCACCTGGCCGAGAACACCTTTAATGAATGTAAAACTTATCAAAACAGAGCATGGATAGAGGGCAAAGCAAAGGGATGACTACGTATTAACTAGAGTGAGGAGAGACCTCACTGGCAAGGTGATATCTGAAAAGAGATCAGAAGGAAGCAATGAGCAAGGCGTATGGCCATCTCTGGGAGGACAGTCTCTATAAGTAGAGGAAGGGAACAACAGATAGATTTCAGGGAGTCCATTATATATTGTGAGCAGGGCTGGACATGGTGGCACATACCTGTAATCCCAGCACTTCGGAAGGCTGAGACGGGTGGACGGCTTGAGGTTAGGAGATTGAGACCAGCCTGGCCAACATGGCAAAACCCCGTCTGTACTAAAAATACAAAAATCAGGCAGGTGTGGTGGCGCATGCCTGTAGTCCCAGCTACTCAGGAGGCTGAGGCAGGAGAATTCCTTGAACCCCGGAGATGGAGGCTGCAGTGAGCTGAGATGGCACCACGGTACTCCAGCCTTGGTGACAGAGCGAGACCCGGTCTCAAAAATATAATAATAATATAAATAAATAAATAAAATTGTGAGCAAAATTGAGGCCTCCCTTTTATGGCCTCAATATGCAAGGAGTCCAAGATCTATTACTAAGTGGAGAAGAAAACAGTACAGAGTGGTATGTATGGTACCATTGCTATCACTTGCATAAAAAGGGGTGAGATTATATATTGTTTATATTTTGGTACAATACATAGACATTTCATAAATGTTAGGTGCTAGGAGCTGAGCAGCGGGGTCATGGAGTTTAGAAACCAGCTCTTCACATATCCTCTGTTCCTTTTTTTTTTTTTTGAGACGGAGTTTCACTCTTGTTACCCAGGCTAGAGTGCAATGGCGCGATCTCAGCTCACCGCAACCTCCGCCTCCTGGGTTCAGGCAATTCTCCTGCCTCAGCCTCCTGAGTAGCTGGGATTACAGGCACGAGCCACCATGCCCAGCTAATTTTTTTAAATATTTTTAGTAGAGACGGGGTTTCACCATGTTGACTAGGATGGTCTCGATCTCTCGACCTCGTGATCCACCCGCCTCGGCCTCCCAAAGTGCTGGGATTACAGGCTTGAGCCACCGTGCCCGGCTTTTTTTTTTTTTTTTTTTTTTTTTTTTGAGACAGAGTCTTGCTCTGTCGCCCAGGCTGGAGTGCAGTGGTGCAATCTCTGCTCACTGCAACCTCCACCTCCCCGGTTCAAACGATTCTTCTGCCTCAGCCTCCCGAGTAGCTGGGACTACAGGCGCACCCCACCACGCCGAGCTAATTTTTGTATTTTTAGTAGAGAAGGGGTTTCACCATATTGGCCAGGCTGCTCTCAAACTCCTGACCTCATGATCCGCCCGCCTCAGCCTCCCAAAGTGCTGGGATTACAGGCGTGAGCCACCGCACCCGGCCGTGCCTTTGACTTTTGTATACTGTATTGTGCAAATATTTATTCAAGTTAACATAAATACAGCCTTAAGGGTTCGTGGATGCAGGGCCCCACCCCCAGTATTCTGATTCCTGGGAGTGGAGCGGAGTCACCACGTGCAGAACGGCAGTAATTGCGTGCTCTCTGCTGGAGCAGGACTCACAGCGCTTCCGCGGACACCGTCGCATCGCGCCCCCCAGGAGGTTTATCATCTCGGTTTGCCGGTGACGGTGACGAAGCTGACGCTGAGACTGTCTCTCCACACCAGAGAGGGGGTTGGACGTCGCCGTGGGGGCGGACGGGAGGCGCCTGCCGCCCCACCTTTTCCCCGCCCGGGGGCTCTCGGGCGCCCCTCGCAGGCAGGCCGTGGCCCGTCCCCCGGGGACAGAGCCTGAACTGTGTGTGCGGCTCTGCGTGAGTGTGTGCTCGTGTGTGAACACGAGCAAGTGTCTGCGGGAGCGTGTGTGAGGCTCAGGTGTCTCTGTGTGAGTCTGCGTGTGTGAGTGTGGACACCGTGTGAGTGTTAGAGTGGAGTGCGTGTTTGTGTTTGTGTGTGGAATGGGGGGAGCTTTGTGTATGTGCGTGCACGTGTCTGAGCTTGTGTACGTGTGTGCATGTGTCTGAGCACGGGGCATCTCCTCTGTGAAGCTGCCCTGACCTCCTTCTGCCCCTACTCACAAGGCTCTGTCTCTCCTGCTGTCCCTCTGTGTCCCAAGCACAGTTCTGTCATCTCCGCGTACCTGCTTTTTTAAATCTGACTGGCAGCGCTCCTGTC